CCCAAAACCCCAAAACCCCAAAACCCCGTAAGCCAAAAAGTAAGAGTATCTATTACTCATCATGATAAACTAAATCAATAAAATAATAACTCGTATGTTTGAAGATATATAATTATTAAAAGATTCGTAATATTAAATACTCAATGGATCATAGATTCGACTACTCACAAAGTGATGAGAAAAAGCCTTCTACCCGTGAAGATTTAACCGTAAGCTCTTATATTTATCAATCTCTAACCATCAATTCACTAGGGAGATGATTTCCAGGAAAATCAAATTATAAATGAGGACAAAGAGAGCGAAAAGCACATAAATTTCTACCTCGTTACTAATAACTCACATCTAATTAAGACAAACTTCAAACTCAATCTTAAGAACGTGGGCTCTTAAAAAAAGCCGATTAAGATGGACAGACTTGACGATAACATCTTTTACGCCAGAGTCAAGTTCACCTTAGGAGACCTGACCAATATGAACGAACTCAAATACTCATACAGCAAGTTTGAGGCCGCAGAAAATTTGGCAGAGAATGAAGAATCTGAGTAAGAACGATCAAAGTCAAAAAAATTTATGAATTTAAGCACCTTGTTCGATATTTACTATTGCAAGAAAAATTATATGCTCTAGATTGACCCAAATAAGGAGTACTATGAGATCATCCTAAAGTTCTTCATCACAAATTTTGACAAGACGGACAGACATTTTGGAAGACCAACTATTTTTAAAGAATATTTGGAGTTCTTTAACTATTAGAGCAACAATTCTTTCCCTTACAGTCAGACATTTAAAATTATTACTGATGAGTACAACTCTAGGTCTGAGAATACTAGACTAAACATATACATTCTAGAACTATTCTCTTACCTTGACATGAAAAAGATTAAATAGAGAACCGACCACTTTAAAAAAATGATGTAAAAAATGCTTGAGCTACAATATGGACGCCTGAGATAAATGATACTAGATACATAATATTAATCGAATCATCAAGGTGTATTGCAGGGCTTCCAAATTCTAATTTAATTTGAGCCTCTTCTCGGTATGGAAATGCTAGACAGTATGCATGTCATTATGGACAAACAAAAATACCTTAAAAGCCTCAATTTTGTGAAAGAAGATGTAAAGTTTGCGAAATACAAGAGCAATATCAAATTTGCTAAAACCATGAGTTTCTACGAAGAAAATGTCATTCAACTATTGATTGCCAATGCATTAAAGTAGAGTATATCATTAGAAGCACTTCTATACAATGTCGAGGAAATGGAAAGATATACTACAGGGGACACAATTTTAAATTCAGCAAAAGAACTTAAAGATAGGTTGAGCATAAGCAATACTGCAAATATATTTGTCAAAAATCATATCGAAAGGATACTAGAAGTTGACTAGCTTAAAATCGTTTTCAAAAAAGAGATCAAAGAAACTATATTTTAAAACCTTAAATATCATAATCAAAACACCACAAACATTTAATACCTGATTGATAACCCTGATATTCTAGGAGTCAAATACTTGCAAGACATAGTCTAAATTGAAGAAAACTAGTATCTTCAGGAAAACTTTAAAGTTCTAATTATTAAGACTATTGAAACTTCAGGCAAGAAGAAAAAGTTAGACTTTGAAAAAATTCAAACAATATTAACTATTAATTTCTAAAACAATTGTAAAGCCTGCAAGAATCTATCTGAATACTTCTAGGTATTCAGTCTGTTTATAGACCTAGTAAAGGCTCCATTATTCAATTAGATAGGTCAGTTTAATATCAACTTCCAGCTTGCTGAATTTAAAAAACATCTTCAAAACGTTTTATCAACCTCATTCACAATCGAATAGCAGCTTGACTCATTGTTGAAAGCCAGACCTCTATTTAGAAATGAACTTTTTAAAATTGAATAAATCACAGAAGTCATATTAGAGGAATTGAAAATGATTTCACCGCAAGACAGCATAATTATCAAAACTGTATTCAAGGTGATTTTCCCAGATTTCAAGCTTGTTTATCCAGAGTTCAGGGCCATTGGAAATGCATCCTTAAAAATGCTGAATGAACTGTATGAAATAGAAAAGAGAAATATATACGAAGACGAGGTCATTTATTATGCAATGAACATATCATAAACTTATGGATCGAATGACTTTTTGGACAAATTAAAACGTTCAGTTGAAGAATTAATTAAAAAAATGAAGGATAGAACAATAACACTAAGTGAAATTAATAAGACTATTGTAGCAAAAAAGAAAAATTTATAAAATATTATTCAACTATATGAACCAGGATTTGACTTTAATATCATTAAGGAGCTTAGAAAAACCATTGAAAATTATCAAGATCAAATAAAAAAGTATTAAAACTACCTAAACTGGGCTTAAAAATCTTCTATTTTATTTGAAAAGTAGTCATATTAGCAAAATCTTATAGACATTTAAAGTAGCGAGATACTTGAGGCTAGAAAAGTTGATTCGGAAGAGTTCTGGAGATACTTTTAAGAATTCAAAAATGTTGACCAATACTTTACCTTTCGGGAATCAGTTGTATTTGAAAACCTGTTTCATCAGATGCCTGAGGAAATTGGAAAACTTGTTGTCTAGTTGGAAGAGAAAAAAAATTCCGAGACTGGAAAACATCATAAGTCTATGGAATAATTTGATTTCCTATCATAAGAAATACTATTCAAAAACCTTTGCACAAAGCATTTTAGAAACCTAGCATCATATCCTAGTGAAGCCTTTAAGCAAATAAATCTATAAAAATATTGGAAAAACGTCAAAATTGAATAGGTTGAAAAGGAACTTGAAATAATCAAATCATATATGATTAAGTATGAAAGTTACCCAGTTGATTATGTTTTCAATCAAAATCTAGTTGATGATATTAAAACCTATTAAAATCAAAAAAGCATCTAAACAAAGTCAATTATATTTATCGAGCTTTAGACCTACGCTGCAAAAATTCCAAATTTTAACTATGAGGAAAATGAGACTTATTAGAAACTTTAGAATTTCCTTTTAATTGTTGAATAAAATTCCCCAGATGAAAACCTAAGTAATTTAGCAAAGAAGATAAGCGAAATTGAAGAGATTTTTAGCAAACTAATCAAAAACTTCTAAATTAATTGGGATCATTTAGAGGAATATAAAAGTCATAAAGATGTATTCGATTTCTGCGTTCAAAATGTTGGGTTAGACTTTAACACTCTTTATGAGCACCTTGATGAATACTCATTTTTAAATAGCAAAACTATAGAGAATATTGGAGCGGTTTCCTACTTTTTCTAATAAGTTTTAGAAATTCTATTAATTTACGAAAAAAATAACTATGAAAGCTTGCTTTAGAAACTTTCAGAGTTAATGAAAAAAGAAATAAAATAAGATCCTGATTTCAAATAAAAACTAATGAACTGTAATTCAAATCTTTCAGCTATCAAATAGATATCTTCTTCATAAAAAAATGCATCAGAAAATACCCTCTAAATCATTGAGCAAGCTCTCTAGTAAGGAACATTTATTTGGGAGAAAAAAAATACGAAGTTTGACTTTAAACTTGAAATAATTATTGAGAGAGAGAAAAATAGCTTTGATGAATTTTCAACTCTTGCTAATAGCCAGAATATATCAGAATAAAATACTTTGATTACAAAATTAGAATATGACAAAGAAAAGATTTTCCAACATTCTAGCAGAGCAAAGTTATACATTCACTCAAAGAAATCGAACCCATCCAATCAATAAAAGGTACAAGAAAATGATAACATATTCACTAAAGCAGTAGATTTAAGCAAAGATATTAATAATATGCTTCAGTAACTCTACTAATATGGACACAAAGACTATCAAAATGATAGCAAAGAATATATCAGAATTAAAATCTATAAAGATTAAATTGTCCAAGACCTGCAAAAACATTACAATGATTATGTAAAAGAATTTATTTAGTGGAAATAATAATTGAGTCAATACAGAAATAATTACTATTTCTTGAACTATGTCCCTAATCATTTGGTGGCATCATTGATATTGATTTCCGACGAAGAATTTGCTGAAGTCCAATAAAAACTTATCCGATATAAGATATTTAAGAAATCTATTACTTTTGAAAATGGGACCTCACCATTGCAATAAATGCAGTTAAGTTGGAATGAAGAAAACAATATTTATAGTGATATAGATGAGAATATATTCGAATATTAGGAGGATTAAAACTACTCTTTATAATCTGGGAAAGCACTTTATAGACTAGTCTCTGATGATTTACAACTGATTAAAGCTGTAATGTCAATTTTCGCTATTGGAAAAATGTTGCCTGTATTTGATAGGCTTTTATTTTGTAATGAAGACACTTAATACAGTGAAGTAGAGACCTTTATTAATAGATCATTTTTGTTTCCTAATTGTAAGAAATCTCTAAAGCCTTTCGTTATAGTAAATTTCTAGAAATTGGCATTCATTATTTAATACGAAGTATATGATTTTTTAAAAAAATATTAAGGATAATCTAACTAATAAGAAATTAATAACTTTACACTCTACATACTATGTGTATGAATACCAAAATAGCCAGTGAGGCTAATAGAAATATTAAGAAGTTAACCACTTTTCTAATAATTTGTGAAAGAGGAGATAATTATTGAGATGTTCAAAAAATACAGTAAGATAAAAATAGTTAAAACTTCGTCGTGTGGACTTGGAAAAACAGAATTAATATAAAGCAATGCTTTAAAAGATAAGTGTAAAATTTTAAGGATACCCATTTATGGAGAACTTACTAGAAAGAAATTAATTCATTAACACTAGCAAAATATGAGTATCTTAGAATAATCTGAAGATGAAATAAAGATATGCATTCATTATGATGTCTATCCCTGCACTAAATTAGACTTAAATGAAATATTATTTGAGATTTTAATAATAGGTTGTATTAATGATCATTTCTAAAACATCTATAAAATACCTGAACATGATAGAATCTTTGTAGAAATAAGTCAAAGTTTAAATGAGTAATACTACAAATTGTTCATAAGTGGAAACATAAAATCAATAGAATGTTAATGGGATTTTGCAGGAATAAAAGTAAAGAAAGCTTAAAAGTAAAAATACTAAAAGGTATGTAGATATCTGCTAGCTCTAGAGGCTGAAATATCAAGATACTCTATGGAAGAATTAAAGGAAAGCAAAAATATTTTAAAGGATATTGATTTCAGTATTGTTTTAATGAAAAACTTTTCTAAGATGTTAAAAGATAAAAATTATTACTACGTGAATTCTTTTGTTGACTTTGTATATGACTAATTAGTTCGATTAGAAAACAGTGATTTCTTTTCTTAAGAAAATTTAGAGAGATAGATGTCTGGTTTCTTAGGAATTGGAATAGCTGAAAAAGCAAAAAGATTCCATAAAGAAATAGTTAATTAATTGATTGAGCTGTCATAAAGAATATCTATTGTAGAGAAATATAGTGAGAGTTCTGATATACAATAGAACCTTAAGAGAAGAGTTACTGAAGAAGAACAGGCTAATAGATTTAGAGATTTAGAGTGGGATGTTTTCAATAATCCATTTATAGTCTTCAACGATAGTGGCACAATTACTCCTATTTACAAAAATATTGAGGTGATTCCAGAAGCAATCAAGGACTATAATAGAAGGATAAATAAGTTTAATAAGGATGCCTAGGAATACAAGTTATACGATGAATTCACTTAGGATGAATTTGTTGAAAAAATCCTTGAAATTTGTGTCAATGATGCAAGAAAAGAAAAGCTTAAAAAATCTAAGGAACTTAAGAATTTAGTATTTACTTTAGATAACTTCATGAAGTTAGTACTTATCTATCTTAGAATAAGAGCTAACATGCCAATAGTTTTAATGGGTGAGACTGGTGTCGGTAAAACCTCTCTTGTTGAATATTTGGCAAAAATTATAGATGCTGAATTTTTTGTCTTAAATTTACATGCAGGAGTTCAAGAAGATGAAATCGTAAGATTTGTTAAAAATGCCTAGCATATTGCTTAAAATTAAGAATATGTTAGACCACAGGGATTAAAAGATGAAGAATTTGAAACAAAAATGAGAATGGAGGAATAAAATAGCAAGCTTGATGATTAATCTTCTAAAAAGATACTAAATAAGAGAAAAGTCATTTTGTTCTTTGATGAAATTAACACCAATGAAAATATTAACGGTCTTTTAAAGGAAGTGTTCATTGATCGCCATTTAAATGGAATACCCTTAGAAGATAACATCTGCCTAGTGGCTGCTTGCAATCCTTTTAAATTGAGAAAGAAGGAAATAAGTGGAATGACATCTGGTTTAAAACTAAGCGAAAGAGACTTAACAATGTCTAAACTTGTATATAGAGTTTTGCCTTTGCCAGAGAGTCTTGTGCCTTTTATTTGGGACTATAAATCACTCAATGAAAATGAAGAAAGGAAATACATTGCCAAGATGATTGAAAAAACTTATGATAAAGCAGGAATTTTAGGGGAGAGTATCAAATCAGTATATCTATGGGCAGGAAATAAGCAGAAACTTAAAGACTAATTTGAGGTCATAGAAAGATTCAATGGTGAGATAGATAAGATCTCTGCTACAGTCTTAAAGGCTTAGAATATTATTAAAAATTAAGAGGAAAGCTGGGCAGTGAGTCTAAGAGATGTCTCTAGATTTAGTATGCTATTTATCTATTTCTCAAAAAATAACTGCAATCATGATGAAAATCAGAGTATAGAAAATAAAATACTCTCAAGTTAATAATCTAAATACAATGATACAGAGATAGCATTAGTTTTAGCCATTTACTTCTGTTATGTGATCAGGATTTCTAACTAGGACAAGAGAAAGCAATTTATTGAGAAATTAAACAACGATCTTGGAATCTAAGCATTACCTTGTTTGCTCCCTTAGAATTTCACAAATATTGTATTGATGGAATAGAACAGATTTTTAAATTAAATGGAGATTAAAGTTGGTATTGGAAAATCATAGACTTTACTCGAGAATATCTTTGTCATTATCACTTGTATACTGAATGATATACCTCTAATTATAACTGGCAAGCCTGGTAGTTCAAAGACACTTGCTATGAATCTGATATTAAAGTCTTTTAGAGGTAACTTATCAAGCAATACATTTTTCAAGAAATTCCCTGCTTTTGTTCCTTTCTATTATTAAGGTTCAGAATAAACTACTTCAAAAGCAATTGAGAAAATCTATAAGAAAGCATAAAAAGCTGGAGAAAGTATGAAGGGAGAGAATAGAAAGGCTGTGGTAATTTTCGATGAAATCGGTCTAGCTGAGAGATCCGTGCACAATCCCTTGAAAGTACTTCATAGTTTGCTTGAACCTCCTAAAGTTGCCACTGTAGGTATTTCTAATTGGAGTTTGGATGCAAGTAAGA